TGGTGAATGTGGCTGGTGCCTTAGCCTCTTGAGCTACAGGTGCTGAGCCTGACACGTTTTCATTTGTAAGTGAGAGGTAAACAGTGGGTATATGTGGCTATAAGGAGGTATGACTGATACCAGAAACTAAGAAAAGGGGGGTCAGAAATGACTTCTCAGGAAGGACGTCCATGGTTCTGGGGATGAGTACAGTAAAGCCCTGACTTCACCATTACACTATCCATCCATGTGAGAAAATGATTGTACCCCCAGATCTACTGAAATAAGAAACAACCAGAAAAAATTATTCTCACAAATAGGGAATAGTTTTTTAAAGTTAAAATCAACCATTATTACTAACCCTTAGTATTGTGTTATTTTACTTCTGTGGAAATGGTTTCTAAATTGCTTTAGAAAATTGTTCTTACCCTTCATTTTTATCTCCACATAATACATTTTCATTCTTGACTAAATGTGCCATGTTTTAATAAAAAGAAAATAAATATTATACTCCTTTTGGATTTTATTTATTTGTTACACATAATAACTTTCTTAATTTGAAGTCACTTTCCTCCCTTGTCATGTTGTAACTATTATGTTTAATTTGAAACAATTTGGAAGGGGGAGAGAGAGAGGGAGGGGAAGGAAGGGGGAGAGAGAGAGGGAGGGAGAGGGAGGGAAAGAGAGAGAGAGAGAGAAAGGGAGAGGGAGAGAGAAAGGGAGAGAGAGAGGGAAAGAGAGAGAGGGAGATAGAGGGAGAGGGAAGGAAAGAGAAAGGGAGGGAGAGAGAGGGACAGGGAGGGAAAGAGAGAGAGAGAGAATGAATGAGAATGTTAGTAGGTTTGAAAAGTCAAAATTCAAGAATTCAAGGCTGGGCTATTAGCCATTGAGAACCCCAATCATTTTGCCAAATGTTCAGGTCACATGATAGACATTTCTCACTGTGACTCAGTAAATCAACATTCTTATTTGTTCACTGAATGCCCAGGTGGTCCAGGCACTGTTTTAGATATTTGTCATCAGTGACAAAAAACAAACAAAAAAACCCAAAAACCTCTCCTGAATGGATCTTATACTCTCATCAGCAGATAATCTCCAAGCAAATGAGAAATTAAACTACTTCAGAGGGCTGCAAGTGCTATAAAAAAAAATCAAACAAAGCAACAAAATGGTACAAAGATGAAAGGAGGGACGATTTTATACCACGTGATGGGAAAGGTCCCATGAGGATGTGGCGTCTGAAGAAAGAGGAATCCCAAGGAAGCTCTAACTACATGAGGATTTACAGTGGGAGAATTCTAGGCAGGAAATTCTAAACAATGATAAAGGCTCCAAAATTGGGGGGTGAGGGGGATTTGTTTTGTTCAAGAGGAATATTGGCATAGCTGAAGAGTTCTGGAAAAGAGAGAGTATTACGTGAAGATGAATTTCCCGGGAATCTGATTTGTGTGAGGCAGCCTCCCACATCTGATGCATCTGCTATGGGGCCAACATTAAATTCCGAGACCAGCAATGTGGAGAACCAGATCTGGTGTGGTAGGTGGCCCCTGGGAATTCACAGACCCTGAACTCTGTGCTCTTAGGTTGCTATCCTTTACCAGATTGGGTCTCCATGACCAATAACACGGTAGACATTGTGGTACGCCCCTTCTGTGATAGATTATGATGGACCAAAGCTTCTGTCTTGAGTGCTCTCTCTCTCTCATCTTTATCTCTATTTCTTTCTTTCCTGCTCTCAAATCATTACTCTGCCCAGCTGAGCTGCCAAATTGAGGCCACCCATAAAGAGAAGCCCATGGTGTAAAGAACTGAAGTCTGCAGTCTCTGGCCAGTGGGAAACACGACTGCCACCTGCCACCAGAGGGAGGTGAGAGGCTCAAGCCTGTCTACAACCAGAAGCTTGTCCATGGCTTGACTACAGCCTTGTGAGACACTCTCCCAGTTGGGAAGTCAGTCTCTCGTGGTTCCTGACCTGAGATCCTCTTAGCCTAACAAACAAACGAAGATGTCAGTAAGAGAACAAACCAGTAAAGCACCCAGACGAGCAAACAAACAGAAGCTCGGTTCTCCTCCGACATCCAGCATTCATCTGAACTCTGAACCATCCCCACCTCTTTGACTGTCCCTCAAAAAACACAGCTAAGGGGATAATTCTGCTATGAGGAAGAACGTGTCACAGAATATAAAGGCTTTCTTTGGGCAATCTAGTCTTTTTCAGAAGTTCATGTGTTCGATTATTACACGTAATGAAGACGTGATTGTTTTAATAATTTTTATGCAAATGCTCACCCAAAGAATTTAATTTTATCACTCCTTGATACATCTCAGAAAAATGACCATAAAGGGACATCATGAGAAAATTTATAATACTCACTTCTAGTCGTAACTGAAAACAATTGATCACAGGATTTGCACACATCAAAATGTCTCTGTCAGTTTGCTTGTAAGAGATGCATTTTAATCCACGTTATATTGTAATTCGTATACACTTCTACATTTTTCACAGATTGCCAGGCAAATACACTTAAGACGAAAGATGAAAAGAAGATAAAATCACTGAAGACCCATTAAAGACCCCGCATCTTTTTTGTATCTCTGAGGAAATAAGTTATCTCTTCTTGAAATAGTTATAAAACTAAAGTTCTTTTTTCCCTGTACCTTATATTAATTGAAAATGCAAATAAAGAACCGTAGAAAGTTCTCACAATGGCTCTAAGTTATAGATCTAGACTGGTAATCAAAAAGTATAAAAACCAGTGAGCACGGTTTATTTTTATTCAAGGCAGAACATTTATTTGCAATTCTCATTCTATCTACACCAAAACTAAAATAAAGTTCTCTGTATTTTATGTCTGTATTTGGTTCTTTAGATCTTTGTAAGTTAGAAAACGAACACATAAGATTAAAAATGTGTTTGAAAATGTCTCTTAAAATGTAAAATCTGTAACAGCTATATATGTATATGTGTATGTGTGTGTGTATATACATAAAAACAGCCTACTAAGAGACCCTTATAATGTGTTCCTATGCCAAAATGCTGTATGTATATCATTCTACTCATTTTAATTTTGTTTAATTCTGGGCTGTGGTCTCAAAGCCTACAGAACAACTCACGCACCAATTATGAGTATTGTTCCTCACTACTCTGAATTACTCACAAGCTATCTCATGGGTATTCCATATTCTCAATCTATATCAAGCTTGAATTTATATTTACAATTTATGTTTGTAAAATATATATTTAAAAACCCAGTCACAAGGCCAGGCACAATAGCTCACACCAGTAATCCCAGTACGCTGGGAGGCTGGTGGGAGGGTTGCTTGGGCTCAGGAGTTTGAAATCAGCCTGAGCAATAGCGAGACCCCATCTCTACTAAAAATAGAAAAACTGAGGATCTCTTAAGCCCAAGAGTCTGAAGTTGCTATGAGCTATTTTGATACCATGGTACTCTATCCAGGGTGATAGTGAGACTCTGTCTTAAACAAACAAACACTTCCCCACCCCAAACAACCTATGTCAGGTTAATTTTACATTTCAAATCGAAGCCACTATCAGAGACTGGCACGCCCCATATTTCTCCCTGACCGAAAGGTACGGATTTGGATGAAGGGAACAACTGCTCTTTCCTCTTGGTTCAGTTTTCACTAACTCTGTGGAAAACAAAAGCACTGGGGATGGGAATAGTGGCACTCGCAGCATTTGCTGGAGATGGAGATTAGTTCTTCAACAGTCAACACTCAGTCATGTTTCTACCCTGTTTCTACCCCCAGGGTGGGACAGGTAGCTTGGGTGAGGCCAATGCGCGATGCTTTAGCTTAGAGAAAGGAGGATGGTGAAACATGGCGATGTTTGCCCCTTTTCATGCTTTCTCCCATATTCACTTATAAAGAAATAGATAGATATTTTTCCCTTCATGTACGTACTTGAATTTAACCCATGCTATTATTAAAAGTTATTCTTATAATTACACTATTATACTGCAATGACAAAATTTTCATATATAATCATACATAAAAACGTACTTGAAAGTAGTTTTTTTATATATTGGTTAAAAAACAATAGAATTCAGCAGTTTGCTTAGAAGAAGGATTCCAAAAGTAAACAATAAGATTAAGGTTTGGTAGAGCGGGAGAAGGTCTCTAACTCTTGTTGAAGTGTTTGAAAAATTGATCACTGTACTCAGTATTTTTCTGTAATACTGCAGGTGGGTAATAATAGCAACATAGCACTTTCAATATTTTAATCATAACACACACAAGTTGTGCTGATTGGAGTAGAAAAGCCCATTTTAAATACTTTTGGACTTTCAGAAATAATTATTTCTGTGCAATAAAAAATTCTATTGTTACATGTGACTAGGGCAAAGCAGGATGAGACAAAACATTTTATTAAACATTGCATAGAATTTTAAGGATTAGTTTGTACTTTAAAATACAATGCTTTTTTTTTTTTTTGGCTGGGGCTGGGTTTGAACCCACCACCTCTGGCACATGGGGCCGGTGCTCTACTCCTTTGAGCCATGGGCGCCGCCCAGTATCCTGCATTTTTATATAGACCAAATTTCAAATACACTAGTAAATACGAACAATTTGCAAGAATATGTAACATTTTTGCCCAACCATGTTAGAATTGCTTAAAAGTTTTTAATCTCTTCTGAAAAACTTGAACACATTCTTAATTTAAAAACAGAAAAATATCACAATCCATAAATTAACTTGAAGAATAAAGCAGCCTATTAGTTTTCAGCTATAAAAATGATAAATTCCTATGTTTAAATGCAATAATTTCCTGGTTTTTATCTTCAATCATGAGAAGAAACATGAATGGACTCTCTCTACTTTTCCTTGCCAGGACAGTTTTATAAAGCAGGTACATCCTCTTACAGTGTACAAGAAACACACCCTCTTTTAGAAAAAAAGAAAAGAATTTACTTAATCAAAATGGCAAAACACAGCCAAATAAAAATAAGTAGTTATTTCACAAACCACAATAAAAAGTCAAAAAATACACAGTGACTTACTTTGGTAGAGTTTTCAAGTGATTTTCTCTTAACTCCAAGATTCGCAATTTGACAAGTCTGGAGAAATGAATTTTTAAAATTATTTCTTAGTATTTTTGTGTGAAAAGTTATTCTTACGGTAAGCTATTATTATCATTATCGAAACAACTATGCCCAAGAATTTTTTACTATGGGTTACAGATTTTATTTTTTTATTTTTTTCAGTAAAGAACTCTTTATTGTAACAGCCACTGTTTGGGAACACTAATTCATTACAATATAAAACCATGAGCACTTTGACAAACAAACAGGCAAAAGTTCATATTGATCAAGTGTTCCAGGGAGACCTGGCCAATGGACTGATTCATCTAATTGTTGAATATCCAATTCCAAGAGCTTTTAGGATGAAATTGTGAGAATATGGAATTCTTAGAGTTTGAGTGATAATGGATTACAGATTTTAAAGAAATACACAAGTTGCTTGTGAGGAGGGTTGCATCAACCCTGGATAATGACAAATCCTATCAACAGACAGGTGTCCAGTTATGCCCAGTCTGTTATTTGAACAATTTCAAAGATGATTATTTAGATAAATGCAATTGACAATGAATTTAAAATGTCATAGCTTTTAACATATCTTTAACAAAGATGTAAATAAAAATTACCCATCATTTCACTTCTAAAGAACCAGTCTTTTATCACATGCATATTCATATTCATACTGGAAACATAGTTTATAGATTTTGTTACAATAAAATTTTAGACTTGACTTATGAGAATTTATAAAGAACATTTTCCTAAAGCAACATTATTAATTGCTATAATATTGTCATACAGATGGACCATAATATATTCAACCAATCTTCTAGACAGATGTGTGATTCTATGTTTTTTGCATTGTAAATAACAAAAAATAAACTTGTTATAAACCTTACTGTGATGTCTGAGGATGATATGAGGCATTTCTAGAGATGAATTGAAAACGTGATGGTTGTAAATATTTTCAAAAATTTTCAAAGCAGATTCCCTGAAGGAGGTCATAACATCCTCCATCCCGTTAGCAGGACATGAGGTTCTCTGTCCTCGTACTCTAGAAACAGTGCTTTGCAATTCACTAGAACATAAAAGCCTTTTACTGCCACTTTAACTATATTATAATTTACTATTTGTGTAGATAGACTTTTTCATGTGTTCACTGGCCATTTGTTTTATTACGAATTACTTATGTTTATCATTCATCCATTTTCTCCCTGAAACCTTTGTTTTCATATTTGTTGATGAGAATTCTATGTTAAAAATATAATGTGTTGGGGCGGGGCCTGTGGCTCAGTGAATAAGGCACCAACCCCATATACAGAGGGTAGCAGGTTCAAACACAGCCCCGGCCAAACTGCAACAACAACAACAACAAAATAGCCGGGTATTGTAGGGGGTGCCTGTAGTCTCAGCTACTCGGGAGGCTGAGGCAAGAGAAGTGCCTAGGCCAAGAGTTAGAGGTTGCTGTGAGCTGTGTGACACCACTGCAGTCTACTGAGGGTGATAGAGTGAGACTCTGTCTCTACAAAAAAAAAAAAAAAAAACAAACACACACACATATATAATTTGTTTTTCATATGAGGTGGAAATATTTTCCCAGTTTATTGTTTGACCTTGATTTTTTGTTTTTTTTTTGATATTATTTTATTGGTACTGTAGGTCATCAAATGAACTTACTCATGTGTTATATTTTTCTTTATTTCTACGGCCATCAAGGTATTTTCCAACCCAAGAGCCATAAATATTCATGTGCATTTCTTTCCAGATCATTTCTGACTTTTATATTTATCTCATTAATTCTTCTAGAATTTGATTATTAATGCTATGTAAAGGCCTAATTTTACTTTAATTTTTGCAGAAGTGTTCATTAATTAACAGAATCTCATTTATTGAATAATAACGAGGCCTATCTTTAATCACAGCTGTCACTTTTGAAGTCTCATCTACTGGCACCAGTAAAGCACTTACCTAAGGTAAAATAAAATTGCATAATTTAAATTTCTTATTCTTACCTTCCAAAATTGGCTGGAAGAAATTCAAGAAAGGCGTCATTCAGGTAGAGCTGGGTCAGGTTTAGAAGTTGCGTGAAGCCATCGGGGAGTCTAAAAAGGAGTTAGAAGGTTTAGTCACTGCATTAAAGTTGCCATAGAAACAGAACAAGAAAAGTGTATATATACAAGGAGAAAAAATAATAGAAACAAAACACATTTTCAACTCTCCTTTGGTATTAAGTACTCAGAGAATTTATTGAGCATGTTGTTACAGCTTGAAAAATTGGCCTATTATTAAAATAAATGGGCTTTACCCACCTGCATGCTGTGCTATCCTGAGATTCATGTCACTGCTAAAGTCAGCAGTGTCCTCTCTGACCGCCGGCCTTACCTCATGCATGCCAGCTAAGACACTTTTTACAGAAATCTCAAATTGTGTGGCATGTTTCCTCATTTTAAAATGTTCCTTTTTCAAGATAACATCCACATACATAGTCAGGCAAGAATATCATCAAAATTTGCCTACAGTTTGTTACAGTGATGGTCAGAGCTGCCCCATGTAAAGGGAAGGAGCACGTTGTCCCCTTCATGGATAAGTTCCTTAATGCAAGTTCAACATCTATGTACCTTGTGATTCAAAGTGTTCTAACTCATATTTATTAAAAACGAACAAGAACATAGGGAAATAATTAAACTAAATCATAAAGGGTTACGAGACATTCAAAATTGAGAAAACTTCCTTCGTTAAAATTTTAGAAATTAGATGAAGTAATAATTTGAGATATTGGATCATGTTCACTGAACAAAAGATTTACTTCAAGGATTTTCCAGGACCCTTTTTCTTAGAAGGGTATTGAGTTTTTTCCTATCAGTAAATTTCTACTTAAACATTTTTAATTTTTAATTCAGAGTATGTTCTTTTATAAAATACTTTTAAATAGTCTTCAATTTTGCCTTCTCAAGTCACAATGTAGCTTTCTCCTAGCAGTTACTGACAAATTGAAGGAACTGCCTATACTCATTGTTTTTCATTGACACTCAAACTATTATTTTCTGCCATCTACCCCAACTCTGTCACTGAAAACACACTCGCCAAGGTCTGCACTGACCTCTGAAGTCCAAGTGCCCTGTAGCCTCCTCCACCTTGTGCCCCACGCTGCCTCGCAACAGTTGCCACCCGTGACTCCTTTCTCTTTCAAAAGATAGATCTTTCTCAAAAGATACTTTTCCTTCTCCTCATACTGGGATATCCCAGGAGCTGAGTTTTGTTACACAGTTTCTTCCTCTGACCAATCTTTTGTTATAAAATCTTTTGCATACATGAAAGAATAAATGTACCTACCACAGAGTGAAGGAATAGAACCCAGTCCTTGGAATCCCTCTGAGTGCCTCTCCCTGGTTACATCTTCCTATTTCCCCCACATATTCCTGAATGACGTTTACTATTCTGCTTTCTAAACAGCTTTACTCTACCGATTTCATCTCCTAAAATATGTGTGGTTTTGCATGTTTTTGAACACTGTATTAATAAGATCATTCTGTGTGCATTTCCCTGAGTCTTTTAAAAATCAGCGTTAGAACTAAATGGGGGAAAGCTGAAAGCATCTCTCTGGGAGAACAAGATAAATGTGCCCACTGTTGCCACTTTTGCTCTACACGGTACTGGGAGTCCTAGCTAGAGAGCAGACAGCAAGAGAAATAAAGGAGGTCAAAATGTTGCTCTTTGCTATGATATGATCTTGTACCTAGAAAATCCCAAAGAGTCCACCATGAGACTCCCGGAATTGATCAATAAATTCAGCAAAATGTCAAGTTACAAAATTGATGACACGAATCAGTAGCATTTCAGCATTTCCATATACCCATAACAATCACGCTGGAAGTCAAAGGCTCAATACTATTATTTGTCATAGCTATGAAGAAAATACTTACGAATAAACTTAACCATGGAGGTGAAAGATCTCTACAAGGAGAACTGAAGGAAGAAATTGGAGATGACCCAAACAAAGGGAGAAACACATGCTCGTGAATCAGCAGAATCAACACTTAAAATGTCCATACCACCCAAAGTGGTTTACAGATTTAATGTGATCCCTGTCAAAATACCACCCCCATATTTAATAGATCCAGAAAAATAAATTCTACATTTCCTTTGGAACCCAAAACAACCCAGACCCCAAAGCAATATTAAGTAAAAACACAGAGGTATCACATTACCAGACTAGAAGCCTGTCATAGCCAAAATAGCATGGTCTTGGTGCAAAAAGAGAGACCAGGCCCAGAACAGAGAACCCAGGAATAAAGTCATCCACCCACAGTCAACTGATCTTCAACAGAGCAGACAACAACACGCACTGGAGAAAAGATGACCTGTTCAGGCAGTGGTGCCGGGAACAGTGGAAGCCACATGCAGAAGAATGAAACAGGACCCCATCTCTCATTCCGCACACACGTCAATTCAAGAAAAATAAAAGACTTAAATGGAAAGCATAAAATCATAAAAATTCTAGAATAAAATGTAGAAAAAAAATCTCTTTTAGTATCAGCCTAGGTGTAGAACTTATGACTGAGAGCCCAAAGGCAATTACAGCAACAACAAAAATAAACAAGGAAGGTGGATTAAATTTAAAACCTCTGCACAGCCAAGAAAATAATCAATAGAGCAAGCAGACAACTTACAGAACGGGAGAAAATATTCTCAAGCTATATATCTGGGGCTACCCTCCAGAATCTACAAAAAAATTTTAAAAATCAGCAAGAAAATAAAACCCCACAAACACTTCATTAAAAAGTGGGCTAAACACATGACCAGAAGCTCTTTCGAAAGAAGATGAAAAAATGGTCATAAATATATGAAAAAATGCTCAGTGTCACTAATCACCAGGGAAATGAAAATTAAAACCACAGTGAGATATCACCTTGCCCCTATTAGAACGGCTTTTATTAAAAAGTGCAAAAACAACAGATGCTGGTGTGGTTGCAGAGAGAAAGGAATGATTACACATTTGGGTGAGACTGCAAATTAGTTCAGTCTCTATGGAAAACAGTATGGAGGGTTCTTAAAGAAATAAAAGCATTGATTTAGCAGTCCCACTACTCAGAATCTACCCAAAAGAAAAAAGTCATTTTATCAAAAGACACCTGCACTCAAATGTTCATTGAAGCACAATTCACAATTGCAAAGATGTAGAGTCCATCCCAGTGCCCATCAATTCATGAGCACGTTAACATGTGGGATATATGCCATGGAGCACTACTCAGCCATAAAAAGGAAGGAATTAATAATGTCTTTGCAGCAACGTGGATGGAACTGGAGACCATTATGCTATGTGATGAATCTCACGAGAGAAAACTAAACAGGGCGGCGCCTGTGGCTCAAGGAGTAGGATGCCGGCCCCATATACCGGGGGTGGCAGGTTTGAACTCAGCCCCGGCCAAAACTGAAAAAAAAAAAAGAAAGAAAGAAAACCAAACACCCAAACACCACAAGTATTGTCTAATAATTTGGAATTCAAGAAGAGGGGTGTGTGGAGGGACTAAGACTGACCTAATAGGTGCAATGAACGCTAAGTCAAGGATGGTCAAACGTATGGCCCTTCCTCAACCAAGCATTATTACAGGTAGCATGCAACAAAAACAACTGCTCCCTCTTCATATAAAAGAAGCATTATATTTTCAAAAATTCATTCATTTTGATGGCACTGATTGGCCTTCACAGCTTTGTATTCCATTACCTGAATATACACATTACTCACCATTTTCTTTCTAGTAAACACTGTGGCTGTTTCTAGCTTTCTGTTTTGTGTTACAAACGTTCCTTCTGTGAATATTTCTGAACATGAATTGTGGTGCACCTTTAAAAGACATGGCTTAGGCTGCTCCCTAGAAGCAGTGTCACTAGAATAGCATCTTAGGAAATGCAGTTTGGGTTTAGTAGATGTGTCCACATTTTATTCAAGGCAGTTCCACACACCTATAATCAAAGCATCAATGATTAAGGACTTATTTTTTGCATGTCCTTTTAACTCTTGGTTTTGTTAGATTTTTTTTTCTTTTGCCAGTTTGGTAGATGTAAAATAGTAAAAGTCATCATTTCCTTGATTAATTATGAACCTAAGTTTGTTCTCAGTTCGTGTCTCCTGTTAACTCATTGTGCCGACTTTGAGTTGGTGGCCCACCCTCAGTTCCCTATGTATTATTCTGGTGCACAGTGAAGCAACTCCTGATTGCCATTGCCCGGTTCTCTGAGGCTTTTTTTCAGGATCCTGCTGGATCCTGCTCTGTTCATGGGTGTGGGGTACCACAGTTTCAGGGAACTACTGTCATGCAGGAACAGTCCTCAACTAATGACCATCAGCAATAGAAACATCATGGTTCCCTCTCCCACTGGGTTTGACAGCTCTGCCGTGTGTGTTTCACACTTTTCCCAGAGTTTCTAGAGGGATGAAGGTGCAGTGGTCCCTGCTAGGAAGTGGCTTAGTAACACACTTCTCAACAGGTGTCCCCCGGATCACCTCCTCAAAGAGAGGCTGCCATTTGCCTTCTATTCTAACTATCTGCCTCTGGGAATCCAAACTAAACACCACTGATATCTTTATATTGATTAATAGCGATTCTCTGCACATTCTCAGGAGAAAACACTCACTCAATATCACCAGTAGGTTCTCGGAAACGTTAAACAAAACAAGAATAAAAATATCCATCTTTCTTTTGTCGCCAATGTTTTTGCAAAGCAGTGTCAAAGGAAGTGACATTATTCCAGCAGCTGCTATACATGATTTTGCTTAAAGTTGCAGTTTCCCAGACCCATCAGTGATGTTGACATCAGATTAGTGCCCAGACTCACCACACACTGATGCCATGTTGGTTATTTCTGTTACAAATGTCCTGTTTGTATTTGGGGGCTGGATTTATGGGGTACAGCTTCATAGACCATGTTTCTATGTTTGCTCTTAAGAGAGAGAGGATTCATGAAAGCAGAAAATGAAGAGTAATCTAATTTTGATTTCCTGTTGTTTTCAAAGTAAGAAAGACAGAAAAGGCAGGGGAAGAGTTACAGCCCTTTTTTTGCAGTTTTTGGCCGGGGCTGGGGCCCTACTCCTTTGAGCCAC